TCTCCCGTCATTGACCGGAGAAATTGGGTCGATGTTGTATTCAATCTGACCGTTAATATTCCAGTGAGACGAAGTACGTACAATGACCGGAGTGATCCCATGTTAATTTTGTCCCAAAACCGGAGCATTCCCTCACCACCGGTGTCCACCAGGAGGTTCGAGGGTTATCGCCCCTTGAGGCACCTAAGACCTTGAGACCACAGCTCCCCACCGCGGCTTCGGCAATAGAGGCTTTGAACACCGCCCACTCTGGTTCAAAGTCCCCAACCTCCACAGGAATGCCCGAAAAGTTCAGCCGGAGGTGTGAGTTGAAGGCCTCCTGAACTTGGGCCTCCTCCAGACGTTCCCAGTTCACCCGAACTACACGTTTGGGCTTACCAGGTCTGTCCAGAGGCTTCCCTCTCCACTCGACCCAACTCACCATCAGATGGTGATCAGTTGACAACTCCGCCCCTCTCTTTACCCGAGTGTCCAAAACATACGGCCTCAGGTCCGATGATACAATAACGAAATCGATCTGCCTAGGGTGCTCTGGTAGCACGTACACTTATGAGCATCCTTATGTTCGAACAAATTTCAACATAACTTATGTTTGTTATGGCCAATTCATGACTAGCAAAGAAGTCCAGTAACAAACCACCACTCTGGTTCAGATCAGGGGGGCCGTTCCTCCCAGTCACGCCCCTCCAAGTGTCTCCATCTTCTCCCAGCAAGATTAAAGAGTCCCTTTCAGGAGCCCCATACAGGACTCTTTCCAGGGTCTCCAAGAAGAAGAAGGTTGTATACTCTGAACTGCTGTTTGGTGCATAAGCACACACAACAGTCAGAGTTCCCCCCCCATAACCCGCAGGCGTAGGGAGGCAACCCTGTCGCCCACTGGGGTGAACTCCAACAACGAAGCACCCAACCGGGGACTTGTGAGTATTCCCTTACCCGCCCGGCGCCTCACACCTTGAGCAACTCCGGAGAAGAATATAATCTAACCCCTATCCAGAAGTAAGGTTCCAGAGCCGACGCTGTGCGTAGAGGTGAGCCCAACCAGATCCAACTGGTAACGCTCCACCTCCCACACAAGCTCCGGCTCCTTTCCCCCCAGAGAGGTGACGTTCCACGTCCCCAAAGCCAGCTTCTTTCGCCCGGGTCCGGTCTGTCGAGACCCTCTGCTTTCACTGCCACCCTTCTGGCAGCGCACCTGACCCCATTGCTGTTTCCCGTAGGTGGTGGGCCCGCGGGACGGAGAAGCGGAGGTGTTGCCCACGTTGCCTTTTCGGGCAGTGCCCGGCCAGGCTCCGTGGCAAGCCCGGCCACCAGACGCTCGCCGACGAGTCCTCCTTCTGGGCCTGGCTCCAGAAGGGGACCCCGGGATTCCTCCGGGCCGGGTATCCTCACTTCCTGTGTCGTCTTTCATGAGGTCTTTTGAACCAATCTTAGTCTGGCCCCTTGCCTGAGACCAATTTGCCATGGGAGACCCTACCAGGAACACAAGGTTCCAGACAACATAGCCCCCAGGTTCATCAGGGCACACAAACCTCTCTACCACGGTAAGGTACTGGTTCTTCAGAGAGGCAGAAGGCTTTAGTGCAGGATTAAAGCATTACAAACAAAATTGACTATCACTGAGTTGTTGGTAGAAGCAGGTTCACTGAGGTTTGATATTTTTTCTAGATACCTTTGATGAAAAACGGTGTAAAGCTTTATCAAGTGGGGCTTGGCATGGGGCTTGGCGGACAGTGTGGCATGCGAGTGCGGTGACCCTGAGCAGACCGCTGTCCATATAATCACCATCTGCCCCTTATATAGACCACCCTCGGAAGCCGGCCTCTTCGACCTAGGACCAGAGATGCGGGCATGGCTACACGACACCGAGTTGGACCTCTAACGTTACACGAAAGAAGAAGAAGAAGTGGGCAACAGTCCTAAAAGGCTCCAGCTTGTGTCACCTAATTTAATAATCAATAAAAGAGGCCAAAAAGTACCAAAATTGTTTCTAATAACGGATCTTACTAACCATCCATCCATCCATCCGTCCATCTATCTTCTCCCGCTTATCCGTGGTCGGGTCTCGGGGGTATCAGTTCCAGCAGAGAGCCCCAAACGTTCCTTTCCCTGGCGACATCAACCAGCTCTGACTGGGGGATCCCAAGGCGCTCCTTGGCCAGCGAAGAGATATAATCCCTCCACCTGGTCCTAGGTATACCCCTTGGTCTCTTCCCAGCTGGACGTGCCTGGAACACCTCCCTAGGGAGGCGCCCAGGTGGCATCCTTACTAGGTGCCCGAACCACCTCAACTGGCTCCTTTCGACACGAAGGAGGAGCGGTTCAAATCTGAGTCCCTCCCGGATGACCGAACTTCTCACCTTATCCCTAAGGGAGACACCAGCCACCCTGCGGAGAAAACCCATCTTGGCCGCTTGTATCCGCAATCTCGTTGTTTCGGTCATGACCCATCCTTCATGACCATAGGTGAGGGTAGGAACGAAAATGGCCCGGTAGACAGAGAGCTTTGCCTTCTGGCTCAGCTCCCTTTTCGTCACAACGGTGCGGTAAAGCGACTGCAGTACCGCTCCCGCTGCTCCGATTCTCCGGCCCATCTCACGCTCCATTGTTCCCTCACTCGAGAACAAGACCCCGAGATACTTGAACTCCTTCACTTGGAGTAAGGACTCATTCCCTACTTGGAGTGTAGTGATCTTACTAACATTTAACAAAATATGTTCTTGGAAAAATATTTCACCAAGGCAAACGTTTTGGACAAAGGACTGCCGATCTTTGTAATTTACTGTACGTATAACAATAAAGTTAAGGCAGGGGGCCAAACATAGAAACTTGATAGTTTATTAATTCCCATAATCCTCAGCTGCACTGATAATTATCTAATGTTAGTGTCACGGAGGTGATCTCTGGGCCCATATATCTCGGCCTCCGTTAAATAATATAGCACTAAAAACATTGCACAGGAAGCAGGGGAATATATGTAATTTATGTAACTAGTTTGTCTGTCTTTGTTTCCTGGTTTTATTCTGAAAAGTGTTCCCCTTTCCCCATGTCTGTTGCTGATTGTGTGCACCTGGTGCCCTGTGTTGTCTCCTTCCCCCTCACATGTGTCTTGTTGGTTGATTAGGGTGTGGGTGTGTATTTAGGCTCTGTTTCCCTGTCTGTTAGGAGGCTGGTAGTGTGGTGTGAGATCCCTGTGGTTGGTGACGGTGTGCACATGTTCGGCAGGATTGAGGCTGTGAATCGTTGTGTCATATGTTTATGAGGTAATAAATGCCCACACCGGGTTATATTTTCGGAAGTTCTGCCTCTGCCTCCTTGCTTGGTCTGGGCCGCTCAATTGTCGGCTTCACAGTTAGCATGCTTGAAGGTTAAACTAACATGTTCCACATTTCAAACAATAGCATTTAATTTAAAGGGGACCTATCATGCAAAATGCACTTTTGTACGTCTTTTATACATGAACATGTGTCCCCGGTGTTCCAGGGAACTCACCAAGTGTCAGAAAACACAACCCTCTCTATTTTCCTCCATACCCAAATCTCTAAAAAAGGGGCTGCAACGGATCTGATAAAAACTGATACAGATTTGAACACTGTCCTGACGTCAGGACGGTGGCGCTACGCTTATTGGTCAATTCTCCGCCTATAAGGGGAATGAGAGGTTGGGCCACGGCCGGCCATTGCTGCTCGAAAGCGCTGGAGACGCTGTAGTACATATGCCAGGCCTGTAAGTGGCGCTGTAGTCTGCCACAAAAGCAGTGAAGAAGACTTCCCTTGCATGGTTTCCATGGTTGCCCTTCTGTTTATTCTCCGCTGTGGCTTTTTTCTCCCTCCCCGAGGCAAGCGTTTGCGCCTCCTGCTTTAAAACAAATGAATAATGACTCTATATAATCATATGTAAGGGATAATGTGCAGCGACGCGGTCATTATGGGGAAAAGAACACCGACAGGCTGATCAGGAGCCCGACGACAAGCGGAGGGATCTAGATCGGCATGAAGGCACATTATGCAATGTGCACATTATCCCGCTTATTACACGGCCATATTCTCAACAAAGTAACGACATTACTCCCAATATGAATTGAAATGCTTTTATGGATTTAGAAAATGATTTTATTGATTTAAAAAATAGTTGTATGTATTGATTTAAATTTACATGCATCCGATAAGAAAAATAGTCCGTTGTTACCGTTTGAACTAACGTAGCAACGGCAGGAACTGCTTCGATAGCGTTTTTGAGGACCTCTTTGATTACAGACTTGAAAACATCGTTGCTTGCTTTAAAAGTAGCACAATTCATTATGTCAAACCTTGGAAAGTATCTAGATATCCCTGCCCTAATGACAAAGTAACTGCCAACTCCCCTCTCCTGCAGGGGGGCGTGGTCAGCTACAGCTCACAGAATCAGCCCCCTGCAAAAACAGGGCTGGAAAGAGCAAATAGAGCGAAATGAGGTATGGCTAAAATGCAGGATCTGTTTGGTATTTTAAAAAAATATATATTTATATACTTTATATAGGTATGGCCCTACAATATATGTTTCAAATATAGCATTATAGGTCCACTTTAAGTAAAGGTGAAAAAGCAGGGACTCACATGGCTGTAGACTGTTGTTTATTGAATATGTTACTTCATCATTACATTTTCATTATAGTTACAAAGGGTGAATATATTAAAACAAAATGACAACAGTAAGTGGTTTAACTTCATAATGCCTAACATACAGTACACCTGAATTCCTGTCAAATCTTTTTTCATTTACATTTTAATATTGACCTTAAATATGCATGAATAGGCAGCACATAATATGTGTTCTAACTTTAAATCTATCAAATTTGACAGAATAGTAATATGATAACAATTGACGGAAATTCAAGCCAAATCTGAGTTAAATCAAGCATATACAATATTGTTGTTGTGCTTTATGTTGATCTCTATCTAATCATGTATCTCTTTAAATAATTATGATAGGAAACACAATCTAACATGGTCAACATATTCCTTTTATATTTCAGCAGCAGGACCCTTCTTCAGACATCTTAATATGACTCCTTTGATTTGAGGCAGACCCAGGCCATAAACTATAGGGTTATTGAGGGGGGGAATGATCAGATACGCTAAGGACAAAATAACTGCGATGCTTGGATTCAGTTGATCAGCCTCAAATCGAGTCAAAGACAGCTCGCAGAAGAGAGAGATGGAGTAGGTCATAAAGGTCACGATGTGAGGCAGGCAGGTTTGTAACGCCTTTCCTCTGAATTCAGACGATCTCCTGCTGCAGACCAGCAGAATCCGTAGATATGTGTACAGGACGAAGAATAGGGGCATTAGGATGCTGGTCACCGTGAGAAAGTGACCTGTGACTTTGTTTGGAGTGGTGTCCACACAGGAGAGCTGCACCACAGGCCAGTTAGAGCAGAAAATCCGGTTCAGTTTATTTCCACACAGCGGTAATCTAACAGTAAGATAGAGGCAGAAGCCCATCGTAGACACTGGGTAGAAAACAGCAACAAGCACAAGAACCTGCACCCATTTGAAGGTCATTTTACTGTGGTAGTGTAAGGGCTGACAGATAGCAATGAATCTATCGTAGGCCATGATAGTGAGGATGGTCAGCTCACAGGAAGCATAGGTGTAAATAACATACATCTGAATAAAGCATAGTGGACGTGAGACCAAATGAGAGTCAGAGACGATGTCCTGCAGGAACCTGGGGAAGAATCCAGCTGAGCCATACAGAGAGTTTACACACAGACAGCTGATGAAAATATACATGGGCTGATGCAGAGACTTCTCCAGGAACACTGCCAGAATAATGACCATGTTAGCAGAGACTATAGTCACATAGATGAACAGACACAAGATGAAGAACAGGTATCTGAGGGGCCCAAAGTCTGCAAACAGAGTCAACTGAAAGTAGGGAGGGTTCAGGCTGCTGTTGCTCTTCATGTCTGCTCCAAAGAGAGGAACAATACAGGAACTGTTAATGAGAACTTCTTAGCTAAATGTCAGATATTAATATAAAATCAGTCTGCATGCAATCTCCAACAGTTGTATGTGACCATGTTAAATATAACATCTGGGAAAATCTCACCTCCACATACAGTAGTTCACAGACTTATTCAGGCTCTCTGTATCTGCGAAGGAAGGGGGAATATAAATGCACAACAAGGGAAATGTTCAAAGGAAAATGTCGTAATTCAACACCTCCAGTAATACAAACACACAATAAGCCTGCGTGCATGTGAATTACAACCTTCCTAACACTTGCACTTGACAATATTGAATTTAGCTTCAGGTAGCTGTAGAAGAGAAGCACACAAATGAAGGGCAGGGAAAAAGTCTCATAAACGACATGAACCACCAAGATGGTAATTCGCATTGATTTAAACATTATTTCACACTCGTAGACATTGCCTCCTTCATGTTAGCAAGTCGGCCTGAACAGAGAACACATTCATAGAAAGAACAAGAGTTATAGAAAGGAGATGCAAGACTTAAGGAAAGGTCACAAGCAGACAATAATCAATATCATCTCATTTGAAGTAAGTCAAATATAAGTGAGAATATATTCTTTCCTTATGTTAAATACATATATGTGCCCAAATACTTGCATGCAGAAGCAGTATACACATGTATACAGTATGATTATCTACCTGTGTCCAGGTACTAACAATAACACAACGTATGTTACTCAATATTAATATGAATAGAAAATCAGCTTGCATGCATGCACGTGAATTGTAACATCTCCTAGGGTTGTATGTGACAATATTGTGCTGGGAATATCTCACCTCCACATACACTACATGCAGCAAAGCTCTGGCCTGTCTCAGTTATTCAAACAGTATTTCACTCAGATTTCAAATGTTTGTGCACCTAAGGGAAAAAGAGAGGTGCATTCAAAGACCAACCGGTAAAGGAAGGAGAGGAAGACATGAATAAAGGCTGAACGTGCTCCAGCCAGCATATAGCATCATCACATAGAAGGATAATGAAAGTGAGAATATTCCACAACATATACAGTATGTTAATCAATGCTTGCATAAGAATAACAGATTAAACTAATTCAACACTTTCAGTACATCAGTCAATTGAAATACACTCACACAGAATAATTATTGACTTACTGGTTCCATGCCTGAAAGTGTAGGAACATTTACATATGTTATACTTGTGTTCAGATCAGCACGATAACCTTGAAAGCTTTCAATATAATGAGGACAACTATTAAAGACAATAGTTAGAGAACTGAAACAACCATCAACAATTACGTTTAAAGATTCAATGTGGGTACTAACAATAAAACAACATATGTTACTCAATATTAATATGAATACAAAATCAGCCTGCATGCATGCATGTGAATTGTAAAATCTCCTAGGGTTGTACGTGACAATATTGTGCTGGGAATATCTCACCTCCACATACACTACATGCAGCAAAGCTCTGGCATGTCTCAGTTATTCAAACAGGAGTTCACAGACTTACTCAGGCTTTCTGTATCTGGATAAAAGGACGGAATATAACTGCAACATGTCCTAATTCAACACATACAATACTAAAAACCACAATAACCTGCATGCATGTGAACGGCAAACGTTCACAGCTGGACCTGACAATAGTAAATATACATTCCAAGTAACCGAAGAAGTGATGTCCACAAAATAAGACCTTCTCATAAACTACATGCACCACAATCCTGGCATCTCTCAGTTATTGAAACCGTATTTCACTCAGATTTCAAATGTTTGTGCACCTAAGGGAAAAAGAGAGGTGCATTCAAAGACCAACCGGTAAAGGAAGGAGAGGAAGACATGAATAAAGGCTGAACGTGCTCCAGCCAGCATATAGCATCATCACATAGAAGGATAATGAAAGTGAGAATATTCCACAACATATACAGTATGTTAATCAATGCTTGCATAAGAATAACAGATTAAACTAATTCAACACTTTCAGTACATCAGTCAATTGAAATACACTCACACAGAATAATTATTGACTTACTGATTCCATGCCTGAAAGTGTGCTGTAGGAACATTTACATATGTTATACTTATGTTCAGGTCAGCACAATAACCTTGAAAGCTTTCAGTATAATTAGGACAACTATGAAAGAGATCCACAGTCTGTAGTGTGTTTTACAATAGTTAGACAACTGACACAAACAGCTAAATTAAGTTCTAAGATTCAACGTAGGAACTAACATTAAAACAACGTATCTTACTCAGCTTGTTAGTGAGAGCTTTGACATGATGAGAGGAAGCCCCCCCCCTGTAATGATCCACTCTGAAGAAGCTGGACACTTTATGTTTGTCTGCTGCTAGGATGCAGACGTGCACAGGCAGGGCCCAAAGGGATGTTAACGCACTCACACCAGACTGCATACTTCTTCTTTAATGTATGCATCCTACTTGTTGTTCTGTATGGAGTAAACCAATCAGAAGTGCAGCTGTAAGGGAAATGTTAAATCCCTCACACTTGTCTTCTGAATCAAAATGATGCAACTGGGACTCCAAAAGCCTTAGTCTTGTTTTTTCGCCATTATTGAATAATGTCTGCAGTGAAATATGTTCCAAATAAGTCAAGTTTCATATTAACTCAATCCAGTGAAAAAACAAAATAGCATTTGCGAGAAAGTTGAACACACAATCTGATTTTCAAAGATCTAGTTAAGTGTGTGAAATGTGAATCAAACCAAGCATATAATATCTGATTGTTGTGCTCCAAGTTGATCTTCTCTAAGACAACATCAATTTAGATATATCCTTGTATTGAATGTGATAGGAAACACAATCTAACATGGTCAACATATTCAACAGTGAAATATGCAAAAAAATGGTTGCAAATAAGTCAAGTTTCATATTACCTGACTTCCAACTCAATCCAGTGGAAAAGTGACCAAGAAGGGGCAGCTGGACCCCAGTGGAGCAGGTGCAGGCCTGGGGTCAGTGCCCAGCTGTTTCAGCTCTGCTGCAAGCAGTCACAATTCAGGAGGCATCTAACTTCTGCAGGTCCGCCACAGAATAGCAGGACAGCGTCTGGACCAACTCGTAAGAGAAGGGGGAGCTTCACTCAAAGTAGGGGAAAAGGGACCAGGGAACCAAGAAGGGCTAGCTGGACATGAGAGGAGCAGTGTGCGGGCTGGGGTCAGTGCAGGAGGCCCATCAGACGGACTGAACCACAACAGAGACTGACCAAACTTTCTGGGCCAAGGAGGAGGATGGCGACAAAGGAGGGACTCCTTTGGAGGGCGAAGGCCATGGTGGGACTACTCATGGACTACCACAGTACATAATGTAAGAGTAGTTGTAGTAAGAGGTTTGCTCTCACTTGATAGGATGAGCAGGTGTCAGTCAGACCACCAACTGGATGGAATGGACAGAAGTAAACCTCCCTGCCGACTGTACGGGAGTGTCAGAAGATCTTAATTTGAGATCTAAGAGTTTGAAGAGAGACTAAGCTGCATTTTTCCAATGTTCCGATCGGAATCGTGCCACACACGCCTCGTCCACAGGTGCAAGGCGTCCACTTCGAACGCACGATGGTGTATTGGAATTGTACAGTACGCTTCGAATACCTGAGATACAGCAGTTCTGTATTTGAAGTGGACTTCTAATACATTTCTGTAGCGTCTCGGGTATTTGAAGTGTACTGTTCGCTCAATATTTAACTTCAGAAGCCTCTTGCGGACGTCAAGTCTGAGAGGACCCCGACATTTTTAGGGCATCTCCGGGAAACTTTAGTCCCGCCGGGGGTCCTGCCGACATCATGTCCTGTCCCGTTGGGGGTCCCGCCGTCACCATCCCATGTTCCATTTGGGGTCCCTCCAACACCATCTCAAGTTCAATCGTTGGTCCTGCCGGCTCCTGATCTGTTGGTGATCCTGCCGACACCAGCACCTGTTCCGTCCGTGTTCCTGTCGCTGCCTTCCTGCCCGTCCTCCGGAGCTGTCCCGCCGCCACCCTGCCCATCCTCCGGAACTGTCCTGTCATCGCCTGCCCGTCCTCCGGAACTGTCCTGTCACCGCCTGCCTGCCTGACTTCCGGAGCTGTCCCGCCTCCGTCCTGCCGGTCCTCCGGAGTTATCCCCCGATTGCCTACATGCACGTCTCCAACATCCCTGAGTTCCCCTGCTGCAAGCTCTGCACACACCCAGCCTCTGCCTTTCCCCCGGCCATCTGCCCTTGCCACCCTTGAACAAAGAAGGAACCCCTCTGGAGAGTGGAAGGTGTGGCAGGACCACCAACAGATAAAGGACCATGCGGTGGAAGGTCAAGACCACCTCAATTCTGCAGGACAAAATGGGGACCAACATAGATTAGAAGGGGGAACCGTAGTCGACCTGAGCTCAGCAGGGGGACATGGAACTGCCACAGTAGGGTAATATAAAGGGGTTTGCTCTCACTTGATAGGATGAGCAGATGTCAGTCAGACCACCAACTGGATGGAATGGATAGAAGTAAACCTCTCTGCCGACTGTACGGGAGTGTCAGAATATCTTAATTTGAGATCTAAGAGTCCGAAGAGAGACCAAGCTGCGGCCGGAAACGTCCACAGGGAGGCGCAAGGCGTCCACTTCGAACGCATGGTGGTGTATTGGAAGTGTACAGTACAAAATGATGCAACAAGGAAGGGTAACGGCAGAGAACCCCCCGCCCCAAAGACAAATGCCGTGGGGATCCACAAAATGGAAGGGGTCCTCTACGGCAGTGCTTCTCAAACTTCTTTCAGTAATGTACCCCCTTTGAAACATTTTCTCAGTCAAGTACACCCTGACCGACCACGGACATTTTTGATTGAAAAAGCCTATATAAATAATTACAATATGTTCCCTCAGTGTGTGATTTATTAACTCCTTCGTGCATGCATTACACCTCTCTGAAGAACCAGCACCTTACCATGGTAGAGAGGTTTGTGTGCCCTGATGAACCTGGGGGCTGTGTTGTCTGGAACTTTGTGTTCCTGGTAGGGTCTCCCATGGCAAATTGGTCTCAGGCAAGGGGCCAGACTAAGATTGGTTCAAAAGACCTCATGAAAGAACAACAAAGAAGTGAGGATACCCGGCCCGGAGGAAGCCCGGGGTCCCCTTCTGGAGCCAGGCCCAGAAGGAAGACTCGTCGGCGAGCGTCTGGTG